CCACTGCGCCACCTCGGAATGTTGAGAGATGGTCCAGCAATGAAATTGGGACTCCCTGCCCTTCTGCAGGCCTGTGGAACATGTGCATTGAAGACACACAAGAAGACTCAACCATTTCCACCTGACTTGCCCTGGCAGAGTATCGGGCATCCAGTGGCTAGACGATCAATTGCTGGACACGACCGACCACACTCTCTAGGGCATATCTGCCATCCCTCCATGCGTGACTGAGGAGAGCAAGTCAGGGACAGGTATTCCCTGCTGGAAAATGCTCACCTGGAGGGCAGAGGAAACTTTCAAAGATACTTAAAAGGCCCCCTCCAAAGTCTCTCGGCGGAGAGCCGGCCTTGCGCAAAATACCCCGTGTGGCTGCATGCACTGGTTGATTTCACAAAGTTAGGCGCACCGCAGAAGCACATGAGCGCTGCACAAGCCTAGGACCGTTGGTGCCACAACTGGCCTATGTGTTTGCCCAATGACCTGGACCATCCCATGCCCGGCATGGCCTGACCCGTCATCTTTGGACTCCCCAGCACCGATGGCGCCAATGCATCTGGTTGGATGAGCTAAGGTGGCGCAGTGGTCAGAGTGCAGTACTGCAGGCCACTTCAGCTGACTGCTACCTGCAGTTCGGCGGTTCAAATCTCACCGGCTCAAGGTTGACTCAGCCTTCCATCCTTCCGCGGTGGGTGAAATGAGGACCCAGACTGTTGGGGGCGACATGCTGACTCTGTAAACCGCTTAGAGAGGGCTGAAAGCCCTATGAAGCGGTATATAAGTCTAACTGCTATTGCTATTGGATGACGAGAAGCCACCAGCGACACCTTCTGCCCAAGCCGAGAAGGAGCCAAGTGGGAGCCTAAACTCACCCCTTCACCTCCCCCTCCCGGGAGCACCTACGGGAAGGGTCGGGGGGCATCCCACCCTCCGCAACTTTGAAGGAAAGCCGGACACATGGCACATAATTCCCTCTGGAGCCATTTCATGCTTTTTATTTATCCTTGAAACAAGAGAGGGGTGGGGGAGGCTAGTCATTGTTACCCTCATCTGCCCAGTTGTGTTTGGGGGGGCAGGAACATGGTGAAAGGAGCCCCCAGCAGGAGGAGAGGAGGCATGGCTCTGGGGCAAGTGGGTCGGAGGGTGGGGGGGATCTGGGCTTGAGAGCCTGAGCGTTGCCCCATCGTCACCACAGGATATTTTTCCAAAAGTCTTGTTATTGTGACAACAGCCCTTTTCCATCAATTTACATACGTTAAAAAAACAAAGCAATGCCATCTTTTAAGGTTGAATATACAAAAATATGTACAACTATCTTTCCTATACATAGATACCCCACCCGGGGTAGCGGTGGTGGCAAGGAAAAACAAAGACTTTTCTGTGCCAGCTGTTTCCCCGCCTCTCCTGATGACATCCCAGACTCGCCTGCTCCCTGGAGCTGATGCCCTCGTGCCAGGCCAGAAGGAGCTCTGGCCACCTCCTTTTGCCTGTCCAGAGGGTTGCTGGGAGCTCCCCAGCACGGGCAAGCCGGTCTGGTGAAAGTGGGCGTGTGATCTGGGGGAAGGAATCGGGTAGCAAGCAAGGCTAATCCAGGATCTGCTTGGTCCGAAGATGGAGAGGCAGGTTGCCTGGTTGAGAATTCGAAAGGTTCCCCGGAAATCACTCCGTGCAGGAAGTGCGGTGAAGAAACGTTTGGGTAGCGGAGCAAGGAGAGGGGGTTGTCATTCAAAGCTTGGGTCTGCTCCAGCCCTGTTGGTTCAAGGTGCCTCCCGAATTCCACTTGCGGTTGGCTAATCAATGGGCTTCAGAAGGTTAGGGCTGCATCGTCCAAAGTTTTGGGTGATCAAGGCCATGAGGCTCAGCGGATCTTTTAGAGAAGGGAGTTTAAAAAAGGGCTAAGAATTAAGGCAGATGTTTGCACAAGCTGGCTTGAAACATGTTAAAAAGTTGAAAAATCCCCCATATGTGTGTGTGTGTGTGTGTGTGTGTGTGTGTGTGTGTGTGTGTGTG